TAAAGGAGTGCTTGTGTGTGGTGTATCTGCATTTGAAGGTGTTCTCCGTTAATCCAATGTACTGTTTCGTGTCGTTTTGAGTTGTGATTTCGGCTTTGTAGACCACGTTCTGGGTGAGGCAGTTTCCAACCAGCGGGCACTCATTTTTCCGTCTGCAGTTGCAATTACCGTTTACAGGATCAGGTTGTCTGGGGTTTAGTATTTTCTTGTTGTGTGAATTTATTATGGTACTCATGTTCTCCATACAGCTGTAGCTAACTTTTACGTTGTTTTTGTTGAATAATTTGTGTAGTGGGTTTGTAGGGGGAAAGTGCTTATGAATAAGGTTCAGGAATGATTTGCCGATGTTGGTGGCAATGTTCTTGCTGAATGGAGGATTGTACCAGATGATGTTTCTCTGTCGTTTCTGCTTTCGTGGATTCTGTGGCTGAGGGGGCTCGTATTTAGGATCGTACGTGAAACCAGATGCTTGTAGTGCATCCATGTATGGTGGTGATGCGTTCCAATACGTTGCCTCACTGTCGGATAAGTCGCATATTCTCCTGTTGATGGAAGATGGGAGTTGGGTGATGATATTTTTCGGATGGTTTGATGCGGAGTTGATGTAGAGTGGTGGGTCGTTTTCTTTTCTGTATGGTTTGAATGAGCCGGTGTTGAGGTTAAGTGTGACGTCAAGGTAGTCTACGACTTTCAGGTTGGCTTTTGTTGTGATTTTTAGTTGAAAAAAGTCGTTGAACGTTGCAGATATTCTCTTTTTGATGCGCTCCATTTGGGATGGTGTGGTGTTATGGAATACTGCAAGACCGTCGTCCCTGTACAGTCCTAATTTGGAATTACCGTAGTCATGTGACAGGTGATGCAGGATGTATGATCCTACTAGCTCACAAACCTCGGCACCATCATAGCTGCCCATAGGGACGTCAAATAAATTATTGTCTGCTGTTTTCTTTTGCCAGCATTCACCATTGTTGAAGAGGAGTGATTTTCTTGCATAGGAGATGATATTGTGGTCTTCTTGGCTTATATCTATGTATGCAGCCGCAAAGTCTAAAGCTCTGTTAAGGAGGTCTTCAGAAATGGAAGGGTAGAAGTCCACAATGTCGAATATGATGAAGGAACAATTGTTCTTATCTGCTATTCCTTTATACCAGTGAATGACGTTCTTTATTTATATATTTTTTCTTTATATTTATATATATATATATATATATATTACTCACTTTAAAGCATTATAATAATATTATTTTAAAAGTACTGCAAATAATATTTAATACTGTTTTTTTTTCTTTCTAAATTAAGTAATGTACTCACGTCTGGATTGTAATAACGAGTAGTAAAAGTCAGGTCAATTATAAGCCCTAGCTTCAGATTTTTGTCATCCAAAATCTTAAGAAGATCAGCAGGCATGAATCTAAATAACAAATAAAATTATTCTATTAAGTTCTCTACAAAAAATACAAACAAAATACCAGCGGAAGATTTTGGAGGGAACGAGCCCCCACTTTAAAAGGTAAAAATTTAAAAAAAAAACAAAGAAAGAAAGAAAGAAAGAAAATTTATGACCCAAAACGTCTCCGGACCCTCTAGAGTATGTATCATCTCGAACGGCCCCACTTTTGGCCCCACCTTTTGGACATCTCTGGATTCGCCCCTGAATACAACTGCTATTTACTTTTTAAATCTTTAAAGATCAAACTACAAAGTGTAAAGCTATGTCTACACTATCAAATTTCATCAAAAAAAGCATCGACATAAAAAGTGATGGAACGCAAAAGTTGAACACGTTCAACTTTTTTTTATACAAATGATAATACATGATAAGATGTCATCGTACCCATATATGGGCACATCACATTTTTTTGTCACATAAAATTTGATAGTGCAGACAAAGCTTTATTACTGTTAGGCCATGTGTACACTATAAGATATTATTTGACAAAAACAGTGTGACATGCCCAAATATGGTCATGATGACATCACATCATGACCATATATAGGCACACCATGACTATATATGGGCATACAACAGTTTTTTGTCAAAGAAAATTTGATAGTGTGGAGAGAGCTTAAAATGAGAGACAGTGCTTACAGACTGACTTTTTGGCACTATAATGCTTTTTCAAAAATGAAAAATGAATGTTTCTAGCTGTACGTTTCAACTGTTTGACCCACCTTCACACCTGAGGAATGAACAATAAAGTGAAATATAATTACCTCTGCTCATCGGTCATACCAGCACATATTTGCTGCGTGAAATGAAAAAAAAAAGATTTAATAGAAATTATTATTAAATTATCATATTTTTATCTGAAATACATATAAGTGGATTAGGTAACAAACACAAATTTAGGACTTCATTCTAGAAATGGAAGTGGGCAGGACATGTTAGTAGAATGTAAGACAACAGATGGACAAAAACAGTAACAGAATGGAGACCCATGGATGGCAAAAGAAAAACCGGGGAAGACAACATAAAAGATGGATAGGTGAGATCCACAAGTTTGCGGAAGAGTGAATTGTTGCAACCATGGCGTCAAAATGATGAGGCTTTCGTCCAGCAGTGGACTGATAATAGCTGATGATGATTATCATACGTGATATTAATTAAATCTTTGTAAATTCAATATTTTTTTATCTTTTATTAACAGTGAGACATTCATATTGCTTTGATAAACTTTAAAAAAAATAGAATGGTCCATCCTAGAGTTACTCAGTGATCTTGTAAAGTTGTACTATTAGAACGTCCAGCACGTACAAACAAAGCTTCTGAACTGTTCAAAGTCGTAGCAAGCAGGGTGAACAAGCCTCATAGCATTGTAGTTGGTATTACCTTTTTCAAAGGAACTTTAATTGGCATAAATCTTGTTCCATCAATGACCTTATTCAGTGGTTTATAGTTATGCCACCTACAAAATACAAAAACAAAAACAAAAACAAAACCAAAACTATCATTTCTAGAAAAATACACAGTTCAAAACCATAAAATACTATTGCCACTCAAAATAAACATAGGGCATAGGGCTTAATAATTTAATTGTGATCACTTCCTCATCTTAGCATGGGTATCAACAGTAAATACCGTGGTTTCCACACAATGCAGTGCAACTGACTATGGCCTAGCGTCTAGGCCTAACAACATACAAAATACGAATTAACCTCCTGTATCATATTTCCTTTTCGGATAACATTGGCACAACATTAACTTACCTGTCTGGAACAGTATTTTTGCCTTTTACCATTTTAAGAGTCGTAGTTTGGAATTGAATGAAAATGTGATGCGTTATCCTTGGAATTTTCTCTTGTTGGGATTTTCCAATCTTCAATTGATCGACGGATGGACGTGTCGTGTGTGTGTTTTTTTCACACGCATTTCGCAACGCAAACTCTGCGCAAATTACTATATACTGCCCTCTGTAGGCAATATGAGTTCATTCACGCACCAATCACTTGTAACAATACGTACACCCTGTTCATTTAATTCACTTAAACACAATAACCATTCTTTTAGCGTTCGTCACAATCAAAACGTTCCATGGACATCACACATCCACGGTCGAATGAAAAAAAAAAAAAGCTTACATATGAATTACATGTTTTCTTAATTTTAAAGGCCTATATAAAATATATGTTATTTTTATATTGTTTTTTAAAATTATATTATAATTATATAGGATATAGACCTATGTTATGCAATTATATATAAATATAATGTAGACCTATATAATATATATTCTATTTCTATGTTTTTAAAATTATACTACAATTATATAGGATATATATTAGACCTATATTATACAATTATATATAGGCCTAAGCATAATATAGGCCTATATCCTATTTTTATATTGTTTTTAAAAATTATGTTATAAATATATATGATATACGGTATAGACCTATATTATAAAATTATACATAAGCATAATGAAGCCTATATAATATATATTCAATTTTATATTGTTCTTATTATTTATTTATTTATTTTTTATTTACACATTTTTAATGATTTATATATAATTTAACAGTATATATATATATATATATATATATATGTATGTATGTATGTATGTATGTATGTATGTATGTATGTATGTATGTATGTATGTGTTATATAAATTTATCTATTTATTCATCTATATAATCTACAATTTACGAATTACCGTACTGCAGGGCCCATATAAACATGATATCATGTCATTGGTTTTTATAACCTATTTAAAATGTAATTTGATTTGATTTATTCAATATGTTCTTTAAACAAAACAGAAACAAATGAACAGCAACAGATCGATTCGCAATAGAGCATATCGGGAATAACCCTTAAATTGAGAAGCAAATAAATAAATATTTAATTAATACATAAATAAAGATAACAGTATTTTTTAATCGAACTAAAAAGTAAAAGAAACTTCCGTGTAAACGGAACTTAAGCCACATTCACACTGTTCGCCAACCACGACCTCGCAAACGTTGACTGGACTGTCAATATGCTCCAACACGGAAGTGTTACAGGATCCCTTCAACGATTTCGTAATAATAGTCTTAATAATACTAACAATTGTTTAAGTATTGAACTCAAGTTCCCATTGCTAGAATGAAGGGCGCGGGTAAGCCAAATTCTACATCATACAGGTACCATTGCTTAATCCAAGAACGTTGATTGGTTTAGCTAGTTCGGTGCACAGTGATCAGATATCGCTTAGTCACTGGACAAACCTCAGACTCTAGTAATTGATAGTAACGTAGGACTGTAACACGAAGAACATTAAACTAGCTTACAGGAAGGTAAAGTACTTTATTTAGCTCAGCGAACCAGAATGAGGGATACCATTATATTACACGTCCTAGTTTACCTGTTTGTGCAAGTAGAGGCTATAGATCCAGACGCCCATGTCTCGTTCGCACTCGTTTTTCCGAAAGAGACAAATCGGCGTCTAAGACGTTACGTAGAACTTTCTCCTTCGGCTTACACAGAAGAGGAAAAGAAAGCGATGCTCGACGCTCACAACGAGTACAGAAGGATTACAAATCCATCGGCTGCTGACATGAATTTACTAGTAAGACTACATTCATTGTATACTTTGCCAAAAAGTTCTAAAGAATTATGAATCTCCTTTTCTTCATACGGAAGTTGACAATAAAAAACATATAGACGTGTATAACCATTGATAAGTAAACGATCCCACAAATTGTGAACCAAGATTACTTAAATTAACGAGGATATTGTTTAGAGAAGTTTATGGATATGTTTAGATCTAGATACACCATCAAGTAATTCCCCTTCTATTTATTTATATTATTCATCTTGTAATTTTGATTGTGTTCTTCAATAATATATTATTATTATTATTATTATTATTATTATTATTATTATTATTATTATTATTATTATTTGAACGCAATCAAAATTACAAGATGAATAATATAAATGAATAGAAGGGGAATTACTTGATGGTGTATCTAGACCAAGACATATCCATAAACCTCTCTAAACAATATCCTCGTTAATGTAAGTAATCTTCAGAATTTGTGGGATCGTTTACCTCTCAATGGTTATTCACGTCTATATATTTGCGATAAATTTATACGTGGTGCGGTACGTGGGTTATGCGGGAAAGAGACATAATAAATGTATATAAATCCCCATTTGGCTGCCCTTTTTATAGGCAGTTCGAAGATAGTTAAGATCTGGTAATCCTCTCCATGTACAATAATATACATTCCAATGTCTTTATACTTAGACTCAATTAATGATTATGTAGGCCTAACTCATTGATTTCCTACAAAGGAGCTTGACTTTACGGAACCCTTTTCCAACCTTGAACAGTCTCTTATTATACGGTAATCTAATGTTAAGGACCCTTCTCAATGTGGAATAGTGGTGCTCTTTAAAATAGAGATACATGCCAGTAAATTGAGAATAAAAGTCCATTACTTCTCAATTTTTGTCACCGTAAACAGGCTTCCTGGAAGTGCGTCATCATCATTGTCATTAGTATTATTATTGTCATCATAATAATAATAATAATTATTATTATTAATATTATTATTATTATTATAATTATTATTATTATCATTATCATTATCATTGTCATTGTCATTAGTATTAGCCCTATTATTATCATTATCATTATCTTCATTATTATTATTAAATTCATAATTATAATCATAATTATAATTATTATTATTATTATTATTATTATTATTATCATTATATTATCATGATTATTTGTTGCACGCACCTTCATTCTGTGAGTCAATTTACTAGGATAGTAACCAGGTGGTGATGTTATCATTCTCATTTTAAAATTTATTCAACAAGGACCAATGATACGAAAACTTTCCTAAGTGGCAATCCCTTCACAAGACAAACACACAGCATGCTCTATAAAAAAAAAATGAAATTTCATTATGAGGCTTAGGAATTGAAGTGAGAAAGTGAGTGGAGTCAGAAAAAATCATGCTACCGTGACAGGAACCCATTGCCTGGAATAGACCTTTCCGGAGTGTCAATCAAACTTAACAACTGACTAATCAGAACAGCGCTAGGAATACGCGCGCGTCTCACAAACACACGTGTTGTCCCACAAACGCACGTGTTCGCGTATGTTTTAACACTGTCGCTTTGTGGGACCTTAGCAACAATATCCAAGGGGCGGGGCTTAGCGGAAAGGTCCATTGAAAGAAAAGCAACCACCAAGCTATTCAACACCACTCAAGAACTCGGTATTTAACGAAAGCGAAAAAATAACAATCCAATATCTAAACGAACTCATGCAATAAAGCAAACCATATCACGACTGCCTATAGAGTTACTATAATATTAAATAATGCATAACCACGACATATTGATGTCTAATGAATTTAAGGTTCAACCATCTTACTTGAGGTCAACACTCCTATACAACAAAACTAAAAAGCTTGCAGTTGATACGTTTACATTGTAGGCCTAAAATGTAAGTTAGTTCATTTTATTAATAATGAGGAAATACATAGTGATCAGCACTGGGAACACAAGAACACAAATAATGTATAAATAAAATAGATAATAATGCAGTGCTCAAATATTATAGGAACTTGATATGATAAATTGTATCAAACATATCAACGAAAGTTCCTTAATTGTATGAAAAAAGAGGTCTGTGCAATCGAACCAGACTCTCGCTATCTCGGAGAGCGTCACACTGTTTACACAG